CCCTCTAACCGATCGCACCACACCTTAGGGTTCGCCCCCGTCCCCAGCAGGCAACGGGCAGCCCCCCTTTCGTGCCGCGGTGAATCCGGAAGCCGATCAACCGGACACCCCGGCCGACCCAACTCCATCACGCCCACCCTCGCCTGGGTACGTCGGCTAGAGAAAAGCTACACTACAAGCCCAGCCGTTGCCCACGCTGGCTTGTGGTAAGTACGATAAGTTCTTCCAGGGCATCCCGCGAACCGGTCCTTAGTCGCCATGGGCACGACTAGCAAAACCATGCACCCACAGCCCACCATGTAGTGTATTTTAATTAACCAACACCATTGCGGTGGCACTAATCTAAAGCTATTGCCAATAATCAAAGTCTATGCTTTAATGTGATCCCCTTTTGTGCACTAGTTGAACTAAGCATGGCTAAGCATCTCCTAAACCAACATCTAGTCATTTTAATACCCAAGTTATCAATGGCGTAAGGGAAACAACATATAGCTGGGTAATAGGACCAATCCCACATGATATTGTAAAACAGTGCAATATTTAATAGAAATGCGGGACATTTGTAAATTGGGTACAATATGATCAATTGCAATGTATGACTTGCCTTGCTCTCGCACTGATGAGGCCACAGCAACGTCTTCGAGAAACCGCGAATCGACGAAACGGGCGAAATCTACGCGACAAACAAAGCACACAAGCAAAACATGCTATAAGACTACTGAAACAGATAACAAAGCCATTTTTAATGGATTCTACACATTTTTATGAATTTACTGAGACTTGAATGGATTTAATCGGAGCTCGGATGAATTAGTTATGATTTTTAGAAGATTATTTGTGTTTTTACTATAAAAGAAAAACCCTTAATCAATTTATTGCGCAATAATTCATCCCAGGGCTGACGTCAGCACAAGGAGGGGTGGCGCCGACACGCGGGACCCGCGGGTCAGTGACTCAAGGAGAGAGAGGGGCGGCTGGCAAGCGGGCCCCACCGAGCGGCGGCTCATGGGGACGAGGAGATGCCCGGTCGGCTCGGCTCGGCCTCAAACCGGCCGACCGGTTATGGCGAGGGCGGTGGCGCGCACGCACGGTCGCCGGCGACGGCAACCGGAGGCGCGGAAAGCGGCGGCGGATGACGGCGGCGCGAAGGCGGCGGCACACAGCCGCAGCGGCGGCTCGGCCCGGCACGGCGCTAGGAGGGAGAGAAAGGGGAAAAGAGGGGGAGGGGCGCCTCACCGCGAGTTGGCCGGCGTGGGGGGAAAAGACGACGGCGAACGGCGACGGCGAGCGACCGGGGAACGGCGACGATAGGCGGACGAGCTCCGAGACCTCCTAGGGAACAAGATGGGAGGGATTAGAGGGAGAGGGGTGGTTAACAGCGAGCGGATTCGCCGGTCGAAGGCGGCGGCCATGGGGTACTCACCGGCGCGCGAGGAGAAGCAAGCTCCGGCGGCGGGATTGACCGGGGAAACGGCAGACGGGGTGGCGCACAAGCTTGCGAACCCGGCGGCGTCGTCGGCGCGGTGCGGCGACGGCTCTAGCGGTGGCGGAGTGCGGCCGGAGCTTGGCGGCGAGCGGCGGAAGGCGGGATGAGAGGCGCGGGAGCGATGGAGAGCTCGGGAGGGCTCGGCCGAGAAAGGAAAAAGAGAGAGGAAGGTGCGGGCGTGCTTAAATAGGAGGGGGGCGGCGAGTCGTGGCCGGGAACGGCGCAATTTTGCCGGAGTAGTGGAGGAGGTGGAGGAGGAGAGAGAGAGTGGGGAAAAGAGCAAATCCCCCGCCGTTTGCGGGCGCGCGAGCTAGCGGGAGGTGAGCGGCGACGTGGGCGTGCGGCACGGGCGGAGTGGGCGCGGGAGCAGCGGGATACGCGGCGGCGTGGGCGGTGGTTTCGACGGCGGTTGGCGCGGGCGTGGGCGGCCGGAGGTTAGGGAAAGGGCTGACAGGTGGGCCCCACCTGTCAGCGCCCGAGAGGGAGAGGGAGGCCGGGTGAACTTCGGGAGTGGGAGGGAGGAGCGGGCCGGCGCGGGAGGAAATGGGCCGGCGGCCCAAGAAAAGGAAAAAGGAGGGAAAAGAAAAGATAAAAGGAAAAAGGATTTTCCCAGGGATTTAATATTGCACTTTGCTTATTTTAATTGATTAAAATTATTTCCAAGGCTCTGAAAATTCCACTAAAAATCCTGTTAGCATATTTTGACATGTAGAATCCAAGAAAAATTCCACATGCCGATTCCGATTATTATTTGCATTTATTAATTAGGGATTCATCTCTAGGTTAAATTAAACAATTTCTTCGAACGATTTATTTTATGAATTTAGAGCAAGGGAGGGGAACTTCAGGGCGTGACAGTTATGGATACCACATATCTAATAGTAGTTGACTAAACTTGGTAGGGCCCACCATAAAATATGTCTTATACGAAATCATACCTTATATATAGAAGGAGTTCCACCTTATATATAGAAGGAGTTCCTGATAAGGAAGGACGAATAGAGTTCTATATGGAAATGACAAGAACTACTCGGATCGTATCCATACTTGTCTTTCTAGTTTTACTTGGACAAGGGGTATCTATGAATATAAATACAAGCCCCCTAGGAGGAGAGAAGACACCCACCATGGAAGCCACAACAACATATCAACACACAAGCCAAGATATGCCGCCAGATCTCGACATCAGAGATGAGTCTAGACATATCCCATCTGGTGCCTTGCGGAGGCCGGAAAGAGGGATCTAGCGTCATCTCTGATCTCAACGAGTTCATATTCGAGAAGGAAGACTGCCCTGTCGTCGACTACGAGTTGGTTATCTAGCCGCCAAGTCGACGACAGCTAGATATGTTATCCCAAATATTGTACTTGTGTGATCCAGATGAATAAAAAGCAACACCGGCTTTGGCCAACAGGATGTAGGGCTATTACCTGTCAGATAAGGGGCCTAAACCTGTACAAAAATCCTTGTCTCCATCTCTTTTACCTCAATCTCGCATATACCCTGGTACCAACGATCCCCATACAATCCAAATACCATAGTCACGATCTCAAACGTCGACAATATTATAATTATATACTATAGTTATATTTAAAAAGTTGGGGGAATAACCAAAGTGGTCCTTCAAGTTTCATGCAATGATCAGTTTAGTCCTTAATGTTTCAATCTGTCCATGTTAGTCCTTCAAGTTTTTATTTTAATTCAAACTTATCCCTGAACCCACATAACCAACAACTCTCTTGATAAATGACACTTATACCCCCTCATTCGCATATATAAGAGAAAATTTGCATGCAATGAATTCTTTTTATAGATAATGCATAACAGTTTATGTAAACCAAAAATAAATCATGTACTTGCAAGTATATACGATAGCCATTAGGCTCAAGTTTCATGTGCACATGTTGAAATAATAGGAAGTACATATGCAATGTTGTTTATTTATTTGGGTTTTTCTTTTTTCTACTATATAGTTGTATACAAATTAAGGGCAAAGGGGACTTTTTCTAATAGAATTGTTGACTAGAAATAGCCATATTTCATATTAAGTGGGCCCAAGGATGATTTTAGGCCAAAACAAATATTTAGAGGATCTATGTGGACAAAATGAAATATGAAGGACTAAATTAGCTATTCACCCTTAAAAGTTTCATTAAAAAAACTTGTAGCATTTTTTTAAGATAGTCCATTGAATTTTACCTATGTAAGAATCACACCCCGGGCCGCTCAAAGAGAAAGACATTGTCGATAAATTCCTGATCCCTTGCTAAACCCTTATTAAAAGTGTAGCAAGATGTACGCCATCGTGGGCACACGAATTTCAAACCTGGCGAATGGAATAAGGCATCAACAACTCCATCACAACAAGGACTTCCTGAGGAACATATACACACAAGACACAACCATTGTGTGCACACCAACTAATAAATATAAAAAAATCAAGAAAAAATTATGCATATAAGTTACAGCTATATGTAAAGTTTTAACCTCAAATTCATTATATTTAGCGATAACAAACAAACATTTAGACTGTTTTAATTTAAGACTATAAATGAAAATCTGTAAGATTTTTTTTCTCCCTATGTATGATGAATTTGAAGATGGGATTTTACACGTAAATATAATATTATTGACAATATATGTACATCTTTTTTTAAAAAAATATGACATTTATTAGTTGGTGTAAACGGTACGTGCACATGAAGACTTCCGTGTATAGGATACGTTCTCTCCATAGTCACCTCTACTTCATATTCATTGAATAGGATAACTGGATCATTCTATTTTTTTTATTTATGTTTCTATACTTCGTTCATTTGAGTCCTTGACTACTTTAAAATGTTTACAATTCAATGAAGGCACATTAGATGACATGAGACAACATATTGGCCACATGGCTCAATGGTTTCCATTTGTTTCGTGTATAGAATGTATTTTACAATTTTTTTGGCATGATTTTTTTCTTTGATCTTCTGAATGTTCTCATTTTGTTTTTGAAACTTTTCATGCATGGCCATATTCACCATATTTGGGATTAGAATACATATCCCAACTTTAGGTACATCCCTATATAACATTTTCAAAATGGTATACAAATAATCCTGAAATAATTCTGGCCAACATCCTACCGGGTGACTCGTGACCTCATCAGCGTCATGTTAGAACTGAAGTTCAACAGTGCCACAACCAAACAGTACGGCGACCTGTGACGGTACACAACGAACTTGTAGTCTTGTACACATGGTAGTGATGGGCACCGCGTTAGGACAACATGGCGTGCAACAATGGTAAAAGTACTATATGAACCCGCGAATTGCAGTGAGAGATTCTTGCTAACAGCTGTATTGAACTTGATAAAGCAACTGTGCTAAAAGTACTGGATAAATTTTGAAATTGAATAATCAAGGACCTTGATTGCTACATATCACTAAACAGGTAGCGTAAATTTAGAGACTTCACTACCATACACAACTAATTTTCTGCTATTTGATACTCCTAATTGATACCGAGACCTAAAGAGTAAAACAGCTTCATGCTCACTATTATCAGACTGGGAAATAGACAAGATTAATGAGTTAATTCATGCATATGTTGATACATTGTTATCACTAGTTACATGATCTAATCAGTGACTAAGTCTCCTATGCTCGGCTAAGAATAAAGTATAGGGTGACAGTGAAATCCATCGACTAAAATCAGGAGCTGAAGTCAAATATATCTTAGCTCCTCGAAAAAATCAGGGGAGAGATTTCAACACAACATGGATCCCAACAAGGAGCCGAGAAAAACTGTGGCTACTTAAATATCTAATTCATTTATCTGCCCTTCTTAAGTTTAGACTATATCTACGTGCTGCTATATGGATTGATCACCTGTACAGTAAGAGATACTTATGTTTTCAATTGAGCAATCTTATGCGGCACCCCATCAGCTGCTTCATTCATATATTCTGACATAGATTCTTCCTGCATACATCAGGGAAAAAAGCTGAAGTTAGAACATTTGTTACCGCATCAGGGGAGAAATTAAGAAATTAACACGAGTTATAAATATGAAACTCCGAAGGATTTGAAAGTGCTGATGGATGATGGATAAAAGTGAGTTTATGACAATTATTCGAGGGCAGAAATGAATGAATTAAAAATTAAAAGGTTGATAAGTTGATTTTAGAAAGGTCTCTTAAGAAATGTTGATAAAGAAAGTTTTTGCAAACATCATACTGTTTAGGAGTTTGGGAAGCCATGATAATCCGGTGGCCATAATCATAAAAGACACCTAAACATTCAGTGAATCTAGAAGCATTTTTCTGAAAGTTAGGAGCCACTAGGCCATTGGGATGGTAAATTGGCTCCACTGAACAAACAATTTGTTCTAAGCAAGGCAGCCAACAAAAACTGTGCAAATTCATGAAGGAAAGTTTTGATGTAATGAGCATGGGATTCTGTAAGTTTTAACAGAGTCGGCTATAAAGTTCTACATGGGTATCTGCTTTTATAACCTTCAACTGCACTTCAGACAGGCACATTCCTTTTATAACCTTGTGATTTAAAAAGTGGTACATAATCAAACCTTTTGACTTAGTAACTGACAATGTACATAATTATGCTTACGATTATTTGCTGCATGAAATCACTTACATCTTTTTCTCGCTTTTCTTTTATGACAACACACTGGGAAGCACCGATGCTTTCGCTCTTCAGGAAGTTACGAGCACTTAAGAGTGGCTTGTTCAGTCCATCTGTCACTGATGAGTGCCCCGGTTGCTCACCTACATGCAACTTTATGCAGTAATCTGCAGTTGGATCAGGTTCATCACCATTCCTAACAACTCTTTCCCTGAAACGATATGTGAAACAAATTAGATCAAGAGAAAAAAGACTGAAAGATGGAAAAGGCCGGGAATGTAAACCATTTTCACTATCTATAAAAATTGTATTATTGAAGGCAGTGAATTTTAGTTGATGTCTCAACAAGGGAAGCACTCTTAATACTCCCCTTTGTTGCCATAGTGCTTAATGACATTAATATATAACGTCAAAAGTGTTTGTGTTTGATCCACCTCATAGGCATGCAGACTACGTCTTGTTCATATAGAAAAGTATAAACCAATGAACTGTGGAATTTCACTTTAGTGAAATGGGGCACGATAGGTTTTTTCTACTTCAGAAAAGAAAATTGTCTTCAGTAGAAATATGAGACAGAACTATTGCCTTGGTAAAGAAACATGCTGCCTTAGCTGCGGGCTAGTCTTGTCACCCTGAGCAACACCTTCTTCTAGATGAGCAAATTGCCTCTTAAAACGATCCACCCCACTGTCAACAGCATAGCCATCAGTTTATTTGCAACATGTCCACAATCAATAGTGTGTGTGAATGAAAAAATGAAGTATGATAAGTCACGATTGATTGCAGTGTGTATCACTATGATTAAAATGAATAAATGAACTGCATACAGTTTACAAAGATAGTGGAAACTGTTGGTAACATTATATAGTGCATCCGACCTGGGGTACAAAAAGTTTGACTGATCCCCACCACGAAGATATTTCTGCATCATCTGAGGATGGTACTCTAATATCTAAAGATAGAGAGAGAGAGAGACACCATGCATAAGAAAAGACTATTACCAAAATCCTCATGGTAGAAAAGATTAGCAGTACCTCTCTGTAAATTAATTCCCGGACATCATCTTTTGCTAGCTTCCTTCTCTCAAACTCAAACTCGAGTTTTGAGATGGGTTGTGCTATGGGTTCACGTTCCGAATTTGCCAATCCAGTAAAGTATGGATCTGTTAAGGCCTTGACACATAACTATAATATCAGTATAATGGATAACGAATATTAGAATAACATTTTTGAGCAATTGCTCTATGCTGGCTAGTAGCTACATTCCTACCTCTGCAGCAGTTGGCCGATCCTTGGGATCAAAAGCAAGTAACCGTTCAAGCAAATGGAGAGCCATTGGGTCTGCACCAGGAAATTTCTGAGAAAAAGGCACTCGAGGCTTTTTTCTCATGTTGCCCAAATATCGTCGAGCTTTCTCATTCCGAATCTACAAATAGTATCAAAATTTGAAGTATAATTTCTAAAGGTACTTCTTCAATTGTAAAACTGATTGTTGGAAGAAAACAGTGGACACATAATGTGTTCTATTGACTTTATTCGGTCAATGTTTTAGAACTTTGACCATCAACAGCTCTCAAAATATTTAGTTTGAAAACATAAAAATCATATGGGTAGATTTTTCTTTATAAGTACGTTTAACAATATTATAATTTTGTTAGATATTATCATTACATTCTAATAGAGAAATAGTGGTCAAAGGACCTATAGAGGGAGCTTTTAGCAACCGCAGTTTCTCCAAGAATTAAGAGCTCCCTAAACAGTCTAGATTGCCACTCAGATTCTAAGAATCTGTAGTTGTAGAATTCAAAAAATGAATTAGAAGCCTTAAGCTGGGTTTAGCAGCTTCCCCAGATTCTCAGAAGCTGGCTACCAACCAGTAAATTCTTAGAATCTTAAGCTCCCCCAAACATGGCCTTTTGAACACCAAATACCGAATAAAGTCAACAATGTCATATATTTAAATATAGAGGTTGTATCCCCATCATCGAACTCATCCTACAATTAATTGATAGACTGATTAATATTAAAAATCAAGGCTAATGTATTCAAAATGTAAATGCAATATAAATTTCGGATTTGTTCTTCCAAGCTTCATCTTCACCATTTGTGTTCTTGAAAATAGATATGTAGTTTTGGAGAGCTTAACATCAACCCTGAGCCAGTTTTCTAGTATAATCTCCAAATAAACTGAAGCAGTGGAAAAAGGCTTATAAGCTAAAGCCTCAAATGAACTTAAGTATTGGAGAAGCCAACCATGGACAAACATGCCTTAAAATATTGAAGATAATTCATTATAAACTAAGTAAACGCTTCACATCGAATTTACAGTGGTTGGTTTACATTTATACTTTATATAAAGGTAGATGTTTCACCTTATGAGTATTTCAATATTGATAGGGGTGCAGATAGTTTGTGTATAATAACACCAGTACAAGAAAACTCCATCACTACATTATCCTAGAGACAAGAGCCAAGCCATTCTCAGCATTTTTGAAACTACTTATGCAGCCTGAGTATAACTAAGTTATTTCCAATAAATATGTGATGAGTGAACTGTTTGATGTGTCTCACGAACCTCATGTGTTCCATACAGCGCGAGTAGAAAGTTTCTAGGACCACAGACAGATTCACCTATGAACTAATTGGCTAAAACATTGTTCAGAATTCTCTACACAGCTTGCATTGAAGTAATCATCTTTTAGGCTGTCATGATAGAAAGTAATTTTGCTGATATTTATATAAATTGTAGGTTTAAATATAACAGAAATGCCCGCAGCCCGCTAATTTGAACCTCCTAAAAATGTCCGGGTATAAGAAATGATAATGACCATCAGTAGGAAAAAGGTTAAATGAAATTGCATAGAAGACAGGCTCCAACTAATTGCAGATTTGCAGGGAGACTGGGAAAGTGAACCCCACCCTGGAAATAGTTTCTCCTGAAGGAGAGCCAAGTAAGTCGGTCATGAGATCCAATTGATGTACCACATTCTTTCCAGGAAAAAGTGGCTTTCCCATAAGCATTTCAGCAAATATACAACCGACGCTCCAAATATCAATTGCAGGAGTGTACTGCAAAAAACACATTTGAGTTTAGTATGGTGCAAGTGCATTTGAAATTATCCAAATTGGTATGCTAAGCATATGTATCGATAGTTCAAGAGCATGGCATTATTTTGTAACATAAAGGATTTAATGTACGGCATTAACTCAATAATCTCGGATGGGGATAAAGTAGCTCTGAAACGAAATGACCAGGTTGTGTAAAATTGAGCAGAAAATTCAGGCTTTAGCATGACGAAAATTTGCAGACCTTTGAAAAGAAAGAGCCGCACAACTCTGGAGCGCGATACCATCTTGTTGCCACGTAATCCTACGACAAAAGGACCACAAAACGAATTAAAATTCAAACTATGATGGGTGCTTAAGGGCTAACACAATTCTCAACATATCTGACTGTACTAGTACTAGGATTGTTCTTTTACCGTCCAGAATATCGCGGACGGAGTGTCGTCGAAGGACACTCGAGCAAGGCCGAAGTCACAAATCTTGACCTTGCAATCAGCATTGGCAAGAATGTTCTTGGGCTTGAGGTCCCGGTGGAAGACGCTGGCGGCATGAATGTACTTCATCCCACGAAGCAGCTGGTAGAGGAAGAACTGGTGGTGCTCGGGGGTGAGGTCGTCGTTGGCCTTGATGACCTGGTGGAGATCGGACTCCATGAGTTCGAAGATAATGTAAATGTCGCGAAACTCGCGGCGGGAGGGTGGGAGCATGATGTGCTTGATCTCGACGATGTCCGGGTGGCGCAGGAGGCGGAGTAGCTTGATCTCGCGGAGGATGCGGGTGGCGTCGGAGATGTGCTCGAAGACGTCGTTGATCTTCTTGATGGCGACGCGCCCGCCGGTGTGAGTGTCGACGGCGGCGGCCACCACGCCGTAGCTGCCCTTGCCGACCACCTCGGTGACCTCGTACCGGCTCGCATCGCCGTACTCGCTGAAGAACTCCGGCTCCCCCGAGCCCTGTGCGCGCACGACGGAGCGAACCGATCAGACCCGCGTCCCGAACAACCACAAAATCGCAGCGATTTGGGGGGCACGGTGGGGTCCTAAGCCCGCGCACCTTCTTAGCATCCATGGCGCCGAGCGCCCGACCCTGTTGCGCCCCCGTGTGCCCCTCCGTGGCCGCGCTCCCCCTCCGAATCCCGCTCCTCCCGCCGCCTCCGCTCTCTGGTGCTGCGCCGCTGCCTGTAGTGGCGGTTGGGGATGCGGATAAGGCGAGGGGGCAGAGGGGAGGTGCGATGGGAGCGGGCATGAGGAGCCATATGCGTCGTGGCGGGCGAACCGGCGAAGGGAGCGGCGGAACGGGAGCGCGCGCTGGCAGTGGACGCCCGATCACCGCGGGCGCGCAGGGCGCGGGCGAAGGGGGAGAAGGGAAGCCGAAGGTCCCATGGCGTGGGTGTGCTCGCCTTCGCGGCCGTCACGGGGATGTGCGGGCGGCTCCGGCCTACGTGGGCGTGCCGGGTGCACGGCAAGGGAAGCCTCCTGATTTGGGCTAGCAAGTGAATCTAATGGGCAAGAGACTGGCTAAGCCCAGTACGCGGCCCTGTTAGGCCTGTGAAAACATGCGAAGGCTTCTTCTGCAGTTGTACTGTGCTCATCGGCGCCACACGTCGCGGTGCATGCCGTTGCAATACCCCGGAGCTGCCACACGTCGCCGGTCATTACGAACACGCACCTTTAACCTCCCATCGTCATCCCACGATCACCGATTCACTCTCCTAGTCCTAGAGTCCTGGTCCATCTTTCTTGGCTTCTTGATATGGCAGACCGACCACCCGCCGCGCGCGCAGCCTTACCCGGTCCGCCCCGGCCGCTGCGCGGCCAAGCGCACACGGACCTCCCGCTCCGCCGGCGCATCCAGCATCACGCGTACGACTCCGCGAGGCTCGTCGGTTTCCTCGCCCTGGCTGTCACCCTCGCGGCGCTCCTTGTCCTCGCGGGCGTCACGCTCACCGTCGCCTTCGTCGCGCTTGTCGTCCTCAGCCCGCTCCTGCTCCTCACCAGCCCTCTCTGGGTGCCGATGGCCGCCGCGGTCTTCGTCTCCGGGGCCGCCTCGATCATCGGCTGGTGCCTCGCCGTGGGCGCGGTGGCGGCCGGCACGTGGGCGTACCGGTACTTCACGGGGCGGCATCGTCGACCCGTGGGCGCACACCGGGTGGACTACGACGTCGGCGCGGGCACCGCGAGCGGCTGGATGGGCTACTACGCGCGGGAGTACGGCGCGCGCCCCCGCGTCCACGTGAAGGACGCCGCTCCCGGGGCGTAGGCGGCACGCGGCTCTCCTTGCCGCGTGTGGCGTCTCGACTCTCGCGGACGTACTCTCGGTGTCGCCGTGCGTGTCTCCATGCCATATGTTTTGTAGTGTCACGCCTTGAGCGCTATATATATTGCAAGTTTGCAACTATAATGTGGCGTGATGTGGCTGGTTAGATTGGCGCGGTCTCGATCGGTTGGGGATGATCCTTTTGACCTGTTCGGGTCTGGTTAATTACCAGCATATATAATTGGTGTCCCGTGGCGGCTGGTGACCGACACAGTGCTGCCAACCTGCATTGCCAGACTCGATGGGTTAACTACATGCTGGGAAAGCAGCGAGAGTAACCTGTGCTCGGTCGTCGCATCTGTGTCCTGTACACTCGATCGATGGACGGTGCTATTTGTTATGGGCACCTCTGAATCGCAAACAAGACTGAAAAAACGGAGAAATAGGGAAAATATATGATTCTGATAAAAATATAAGTATAAAATAGATGATTGTTAAATATATAAAAAACATAGGAATGATAGTTTGATTGAGCCATAGAAAAAATACAGAAATTTGAGTAGAGATAAAGACTCAAATAATTCTTTCTATAAGGTTCTACCTTATGTTAAATTTTCTCTAAAATTTACGTGGAAAAGATATTCCATAGGAATTTCGTACGATTCATTTCTTCGATTCAGAGGGTAATATAGAAAAATTTTTATAGAAATAACATCCTTTAAAATTCGAACTTCCTTTCAATCAAATGGCCTAACACTTGACAGCACGCAGCTGCTGCCTGCTATTTTAAAGCCTGGTGCAGTTTCGGCCCATTAAGGCCAGTGGGCTGTTTTTCGGCCTAAGTTTGGAATATAGACATGGATAAGCCTACCTAAGATATTTACTACTCTATTTTTTTTCTCTTAGTTAAACTTTTAAAGTTTAATCGAGTTTGTAAAATAATATACTAATATTTTTAATAATAAATAAATATATTATTAAAATATATTTTATACTAAATTTAATGAGACTAATTTGGTGTCGTGGATGTTGCTAATTTTTCTAGGTAAATTTTGCTAGAGGACACTGCTAATATGTGATTTTAGCCTTAACACACTGCCCAAACTTACATTTGCGGGAAAACACTCCATAAACATGGTAATTTACCAATGGACACCGCGCCGATCAAAATAATAATTTCCGATTGAAGAGGAGAGAGAAATCACGTGAAATGTCAAAAATGCCCTTGGGCCCACATGTCAGCTCTCTTATCTCTCTTCTCTCTATCCCCTCCTTCCAGAGTTCCGACAGCAGCGGTGGCGGGAGGGCGAGGACGGAGCGGCCATGGCGACGCGCGGGTAGGATGGTGGCGGCCTCCTTCCGGCCCAAAACTAGGCCGCTCTCGCGAGGTCCTCCACAACGAGCACCATCGCGCAGCCGCTGCCGCTGACAGCAGACCGGAGCTCCGCGAGTCGCTGCTCCGCCCCCTCCCTCGGCGTGCTGTGGAACCGGGACACGGTGAGGGTGACCACCTGCGCGTGTTGCCTCGCCGCGCCGCGCCTAATCCTTTCCACGGCTACCCGCGCCGCCGCCTCAGCCGCGGCAGCGCACTCGGCGAGCACCGGCTGCTGCTGGGTCTCGACGAAGCCCCACCGCTGGTGCACCTGGGCGCGCTTGAATGTGGCAATTGTTGACTGAGGGAGGAGGCAGAGCGGCGACTCACGGAGCTCCGGTGCGTCGTCAGCGGCAGCGGCCGCACGATAGTGCTTGTCTTGGAGGACCTCGCTTGGGCGGTCGAGTTCTGAGCCGGAAGGAGGCTGCCGCCATCCTGCCCGTGTGTCGCCGCGGCCGCTCCGCCCTCGCCCTCCCGCCACCGCCGCCATCAGAACGCTGGAAGGAGGGGATAGAGAGAAGAGAGATAAGAGAGCTGACATGTGAGCCAAGGGCATTACATTTCACGTGATTTTTCTCTCATCTTCAACCGGAAATTATTATTTTAATCGGCGCGGTGTCCACTGGCAAATTACCACGTTTGTGGAGTGTTTTCCCCCAAAAGTGAGTTTGGACAGTGTTTTAGGGCTAAAGCCACATATTAGCAGTCTCCAGTAGCAAAATTTGTCTTTTTTTTCTATTAGTTTTGGTCAAATCTAATGAACTTTGATTAAGAAAAAGTCAATATGAACGGAGAGAGTAGTATTTTTTAAAGAGGAATTATTAGCGTTCGTAGATCAAAGCAAAATTACAGTACTTCATCCTTGTTCCTGGTGCAAGGCTCCTAAATTCCAAACTATAGTTCCGTGCTTCCGTTTCCTAGTGGTTTTGTCCACAAGTGGAACTATGCAGAAGTGTGAAGAAAACAAGCAGTCAGGTAGCAGTGTAGCACTTGTCTTCTACGGCACTACCACAATCCATCACCAGCGCCACCTTCCCAGCTCCCAAGTCCCAAGTAGCCGCAATAATGGTAATCACGGCTCTGCAGCTTCTCCCTCCAATCCTTGGCCTTCCGGCGACGGCGAGAAATGGCTACGCCGTCAGAAGGCCACGGATGATGACTGTGACTTGCTGCAGGCACAACCAGGTACCGAGTATCTTGGCTTTGCCGGATCTCTGAAATTCCCTTTCCAGTTTCCACTGTTTCGTTTGGGATGAACTGCTTCCGTTTTCCGGAATAACATCGTGGGATGCTGGGATCCAATATGCATGAGCTGAACCACGAAATGTTCTTTTTATTAGCTAGAGGCCTAGAACGAGTAGGATAGGTTGATAGATTGGGGAAACAGGGGACTGGAGGTCATCTCTCATGAGGATGGAAAGATAGATCTCCCCTGTATGCGATGGGGCCTGGATGAGCAGCTGCTACTTTCAGAAGTACTTTGTATTAAGGCAACTTGCAAGAATCAACTGTAGGTTTTATATGCACAAGAATGTCAGATATGATGAACACGCTTCACTTCGGAAATAGTACTAATCAGAAGTAGAGCCGGGTGGTTCAGTGATGTTATATTGAAAAATGCTATGCCTGCTATGTTTCATCACCAATTGATGACCAGTTTCTCTTGTCATTTCTTGGATTTTTAAGCAGTACTTTGGTGCCTACATTCCTACAAATATGTCAAAAGCTGTTAATTTTTTTCTAGAAAAATATGTCAAAGCTATAGGTGCATACAATATGTTTTATTAGATTGATTCAGAACACTCAGGTATTGAATGGATTATTAGGTGCAAAATCCTGCTGTATTTTTATGCTGACAGGTTTAACATTTTTTTTATGTATGTATTGCACTGCATCTATGCATATTCAGTTATTCTACTATATATGTCCATCCCCTTGGTGGTGAAAATTAATTAATAGATGAAAGTTGGATAGTTCATACTTGGATGATTAGATCCAAGTTTGATAACGAAATCCTCCATCATAGAGACTATTCATACTAACAAAACAAACCAGTAATTGGATTTTGATATGTCCATGCATGTCAATCTTTGGTTATATAGGCCCTATTTGATTAACCGTGTCAGTTGGGTTTGTCGTTTTTTGTCGACTAACACTGTATAATTTTTCCTGCTCTACTATTAATATACAAGGCAAAGCTTTTGCCTTCCTTCAAAAAAAATGTAGGCCCTATTTGGTTAACTTTGTCTTCCATATCTTCAGAAACAGTGACCCCTTGAAGCTATACTCCTCTGCTTCTTGTAATCTAAATTATCGTGTTATATGGATTCTTCTTCAGTTCTGGCATAAACCGCTCCCCTGTTAATTAGCAATTTGTTTCCTGCAGGCAACCACTGTACATGAATCAAGGCTAACAAGCAGTTTATCCCGTAGAGATGCACTGTCATACATGTCGTCTGCGTTCATAGCAACGCTTCTGGTGGCTGGTCCTGCAGAAGCAAGAACCTCCAGGCAAGAGAACAAGAGAAAAGTAAGGGAGAAGCTGGAGAAGCTCCGGGAGAAGGCACTAGGCCCAGATGATAAAAATGGAGCCATCCGTAAGAAGGAATCTTTGGCGAACTTGTTGATTCCTCCTAAATTGGTCGAGGCTACCATTTGAAAAGCCATTGTATCGATGTGAACTTATATTCAGACGTTAAGGAACAATAATATGGAAGTCTGAATATATGGTGCTCCTCTGAACTGTTGTTGCCAACTCGCCATCACTCGTGTATGAAATATGATACTAGTTGGGATCTCAATCCAAATTAAATTATGCCTTTTCTATATCTTGACTCGTCCCCGTGTCTTATGTGACGTAGTAGAGCACCCAATTCGTTCACATCTTAAAACATAGGTACTGCATTACACCAGATAGCGATCAAACACATGGAAAACAACACTTACAAGTGTGTTTTCACTGAAAAGAGTACAGCACTGAGAAAAGATCAGCAACCGGCATTTGAATAGATAGAATTCGAAACCGTCCCATACATGAATGAATTTAAAAGTAAAAAACCAGAATCAGAAAGTTTTCATTACGAACAGCATGTAGGAGATCAGATCTAACTCGTACGGGCAAGGCAACTTGCACGAGTCGTCCCAGCTAACCGTCTCGAGCTTATTCAACACCCTGCGTTGTAGGTCGAGCAGCAGAGGACTGTCGCCCTCATCCCCCTCCAAAACGAGGGCGCCACTCCCCTCGCAGAACCGCACGAGCCACCTTCCTCTCAACCATCCGTCGCGAAAATCCAGGCCGCCTGATGCTATTCTCGCGGATAACGTGACGCAGCTCCCAGCGGCGTGACCTCCCTCGCGCGGTGGTGCGGAGTCTGCGGACCCACACGAGAATGCGGTCGCTTCCGTGGACGACCACGCTCAGCAATGCTGCGTTGCTCGTGCCGTCGTCCGCCGCCGCGGCCGGCGATAGCGCGAGGCACATGTTGTGCATCCCGGATTTGCACGACTCCGGGAGGTTCACTAGTGAAGCCTTCGGCTCCCCGCCGTCGCCTCGTCGCTTTAGGCTGAGGATGCTGTAACCCGAGTATTCGCAGCACAACCAGTAGACGGCGCCGCGCAGGACGACAACATTGGAGTCGCCGTCGGATAAGCAAATCCTGTAGATGGGGCAGGCAACGGGAGTGCCCCACTCGCGCTCGTCGGAGGAGAAGACTTGGAAGATGAGCGTCCTGGCAGGGCTCACTAGCAGCTGCGCGGCGAGCAACTTGAACGAGTGGGTTCCAATCGCCTGGTCGTTGTGGTTGACGTCGAGGAGGACGACGGTCTCGTCGGACACCTCGTGGGGCGGGAGCACCCAACGCTCGCCTGACACTGGGTTGCACACGGTGAGCCCGCTGTGGAGATAGTCTTGGTGGCCGATGACCCTGCACCGCCGGCGGAGGACTATGAGGGACCTGCGCGATGACAGGGGCAGGTAGGGACCAAAGATGCACGCGCTGTGGTTGGCGCCATGGTTGATCGGTGTCGCGGGCGGGACGAGGGCCAGCGATGTGGCAATGCTCGCGGCGCCGGCTGTATCAGGTGGCACCAAAGCCAGCGGGCTGCACAGGTCTTTTGCTCGGCGGTACAAGCCGAGGAGGAGAGATGGGACGAATCCGCATCGGGAATTGCCGGTGTCGTCCCCAGCATTGACAACGCGGAGGCGACGGAGGAAGGCCGGATGGAGGATGCGGCGGCGCAGGGGTTTTGAGATGGCACCGCAGCGGATGATCGTAGCAGGACTGCTTCTCGCGATGATCTCGAGGACAAGATCGTCGGGAAGAATTTGGTGCGGTTCGATCTCCATATCCATATCCATATCGAGTACGTGACGCACCACGATCGAGCGAGATAGACTCGATCTTGTACCGATGTAGTACGTGGATATATATACACACATTCGGTTTGTTTACGGTTCCTGTGAACAATAGGATTCGGATGCATGTACATCCGTACAGGTAACGTGTGAGCAGTTATGTTAAGTTATTACTACTACTATATATGCACTACGGACGATTTGGTATGGGAAGCTCCATACGGTCAGGTATTTCAGTCGTATAGACATCTACAATGTGGTATAAAAATAATCCATAAACAATGAATATTCCATTCAGCCATCTATTACTATTATGCAATTAGTTCATATAAAAAAATAGCAAAAGATACCCATATGCATATGGGCTACCCATATGGAATAAATTATATTATCTATCTCTACTCCTCTCTCTTCTACTAATAATACCTTGTATATATATGCATTGCGGAGATTACCATAGGGATAAACTATTTATGTGAGTCCCATCTATATGGACCACTTTACCATATACATTGGTGATGCCCTAATGGAACTATGGAAGTATGCTGTTATACCTGCTCTAGCAACACCAGTGCTGCGGGACAAGGTGTACCTAGATGCCACGGTAGCATGCGACTCAAATAGTTATAAAAAAATTGAAAAAAGTTAATAACATCGATTGTGATGATATACGACTATACACAAACATACGCGACTAAATTTGATCTATAACTAGAGAAAAAAAAAATAAAATCAGACAGTGAATAGTACCCGTACATCACAGATAAAATTTGTTAATTTTGTTTCTTTATAGTCGATCAAATTTAGACTTGCATGTTTGTATAGTGTCTTATATCATCATAGTCTATCTTATTAAATTTTATGAATTTTTTATATAATTGTTTAAATTTTATGAATTTTTTATATAATTGTTTAAATTACATGTATATATCTAGGTGCCAATTAAAATTTATGAATTTTTTATATAATTGTTTAAATTATATGCATATAGCTACGTGCCAATATTTTCCCCGTATGATTCTTTTCCCCGTCCCTGTCGCTCCCGTCGCTGGGGCAACACGAACACCCTCGAGGCCTCGACCGCCCACCGACGCCACCCCCTCCATCCTTCCCTCCGCCTCGCCGCCGCCCCCGCCCGAGCGGTCGCCGGAAAGCCGGGCGCGGCTGCAAGGACGGCAGCGGCGGGTCTCTCTCGCCCTCCCTGCGCGGCGTTTTAGCAGTTGATTCTGCTTACCGGTAGGCCGGCCGTGCGCTGGTCAATGATTTGGGGCCATATGGCAGCCTCATTGTGCTGATTTGTTGGGCTTTAACGCTCAACGTAGGTCATATGTACTCTAGCAGAAACAAGCCCACAGGCCACAACTAATTGTTCAACACAACGAAGTCACGATCTCTCTGCACCTGAGTAGCCATGCTGGAATAACCATTTACATTGATGAGAAATATTACGTACATATACATACATCCACGTCGATGCTTAGAAGTTACAGCATGAACCAGGGTTTTTATTGAACATGTCGAAAGCGTTTATAAAACATAAACACACATTTAATTACGGCACATTCCCACCGGCCGCCTATATATTGATCGCGCCGGTCAAGTATTTTTTTTCCCACCTTTTCAGCGGACGCCGGGTCGATTAGATGGGGATCGCGCTGGTGATCCGCGGGTAGACGACGTTGGCCGGGTGCCCCATGATGCGGCGACCCTTGCGGTGGCGGAACAGGTACACGAACGCGCCGAGCGGCCACTCCACGACGCCGGCCACCACGAACGCCACGAAACCCAGCGTCGGGCCGAGCACCTTGCACCTGCACGGGTTGCTGTGCGTCCCGCACTGCACGCACACCGGCACGTAAGCCATCTCCTCGCTGCCGCCGCCGCACGAAACCGAAGTCCTCCGCCTCGCCGCTTGCTTGCCGATCGACGAGCTCTACTAGCGCCTCTGCTTGGAATGCCTGTGTTGATGGATCGAATGAGCAAGGGATTGCGGATACACGCCTCCACGGAGTACGGGCTTAAATAAGCAGGGGCTATGAAAGCTTCGCATCAGCCATCAGGGACGCGTGGCGGGGTGGAAGGGGGCTACGTACGTGGGGCGCTGCTAGTGTCTGTCTTGGTGAGTTTGGTGTAAAGGGAGGCGATGAGTCGTCCGTAGAAGATTGCCACGTTTGCTTGGGGAAGGCAGAGCCCAAATCTTGAGTCGACACGTGCACTGTTCGTAACGGAGCTTTCTGGAACACAGATTCTCGTTTCAGAGCAAGAGAAACGGTATCGTAGTATTTTTTAAAGCATTGCTTTTCGTTGCCTATTGGAGCAAGTACAAAGCAGGAGCTATAAATATATTTTAAAAAGATAAAAAAGAGAGAGAAGAGTAGTGTGCTATAGATCTGTAGCACGATCTTTAAGATGTAACGTGTGTATGATAGGTGAGACCGGGTATTATTAATAGTATAGTACTCCCTCCATTTCAAAATATAAGGCACAACCACCCTTAACCCAAATACCAAGAAATAATTAATATTTCATGGTTATCATGAATCACCTCAATCAATACAATACATGCAACCAATAGAATTAAAAATCTTGTGAGTATAGGATTTAAAATAATAATAATTTAGAGGAGAGAATGTGCTAATTAATTATATGCATGCATGCATGCCTTATATTATGAAACCACTTTAAAAAGTAGATGTATCCTATATTTTGGAATGGAGAGAGTAAACAACTATTGTATGAATTGGCTATTATATTGGCTATAAATGATTTGGAGCTAGTAGTTGGCTATACTATTAAGGCCGAGTTTAGTTCCAAACTTTTTCTTCAAACTTTCTAATTTTTCATCACATCAAAACTTTCCTACATACACAAACTTTCAACTTTTCCGTTACATCGTTCCAATTTCAACTAAATTTTTAATTTTAGCGTGAACTAAACACACCCTAAACTTAACTCTTATGGGTGTGTTTAGTTCACGCTAAAATTGAAAGTTTGGTTGAAATTGGAACGATGTGATGGAAAAGTTGGAAGTTTATGTGTGTAGGAAAGTTTAGATGTAATGAAAAAGTTAAAAGTTTGAAGAAAAAGTTTAGAACTAAACAAGTCCAATATCGAACGATACAAGGCCTTTGGCCAAAGGTGGGCTCCATCTTGTCTCCGTACCCAACTCTCAGGCCCTCACTTGCGTCATCGCAAGTTCAGACTTCTGTTAGAAACGTCGTCTTGACTAATTATTGTTCGAAAGATTATCCCTTTCTCTTTCAATTTCTTTCGAATGGCTTACAAACATAAAGTGATTGTAATTCGGCTCTCGTTGAATAATCGAGAATCGCTTGAAATTATGGTTTTCACTTGAGATATGAAAATTTGATAGGATTTTCACAAAAAAAACAGTTCAGTTCCTTCAAACTGACTAGACCCTGGAAAAAGTACACCGAAGGTCCCTCAACTTGTCATCGGGTTACAAATCATCCTTCAACCACAAAACCAGATACAACGCATCCCCCAACTTACAAAACCAGTGCACATTGAGGCAGGGCCCGCTTATATTGCTCCAGGCCAAGCACGCTTAACCCTGGAGTTCTTTGAAAATCGGCTTCCGGAAAAGAAGTTGCAACGTGTCCAGTGCACCACTCCCGGTCCACACCAGCCATGCGCTATGTAACGTCTTGCCTCTCCCAAGTCAGGCCCGCTTACATCTGGTAGCTTTTATAGGTAATAGACTGCCCTCACAGGCCAACACATGCCTTTTCTGCACACTTTGTCCTCACTCGTGTACACCCGGAAAGAATTCCTCGGTCGGTCACTCATCCCAAATTGCTCCAGGCCAAGCACGCTTAACCCTAGAGTTCTTTTGAAATCGGCTTCCAGAAAAGAAGTTGCAACTTGTTGACATGAGTATTTTATTAATACTATTAAGCCCTGGGCCGGGATGTCACACTAGGTCCCCTAGCGGTTTTGACTCTGGTTTTCTCCGACCCGGTTTTCTCCGACATGACAGCTAACTCAGCGTGGGACCCACACGTCAGCCTCTTCTTCTCCTCTCCTATCCACCTTTCTTCCTCTTTCCCCTCCTCTCTCACCCCCTCTCTTCTCTGTATTATCCGCGTCACGAAGCCGGCGGGATGGAGCGGGGCGGCGATGGGCGGAGTGGGGCGACCGGCGACGGCGAGGCGGAGTGGCGGATGCGCAACGCCGAGAGACCCGCAGGGGTGGCCAACGGGCGCCATGGCCACAGGCGCCGGCGCGAGGGACACCGGCGGCGGGGGGCGCGCGGAGGCGGCGGCGCCGTGGAGGGCCTCGAGCTCGGTGAAGAAGCGCTAGGTCTTGCCGTCGCCGTGGCCGGCGCGGCCGTCCTTGGTGCTCCTCTTGTACCCCCATCTCCGCGAGCTTCCTGCACGCCACGCCATGGCAGCCACAAATTAAACTTCATCTCACTGTGCTCATTTCGTCGTCGCTGCAATTAAGCTGCTACCTTGTTGTCGCGCGCCGAGCAAGCTTAATTCTACGATATATGCAAAATCTAACCAAAATTGAGCTCGAATTTTGACCATGCGCATATGGATGACTAATTAATTCTCGGCATTAAGAGGTTAGCTAGCTAGCTAACCTGGAGACTTCCTCCTAGAGGGGGCCCTTGAGGACGGCTTCCCGAAAGGCGACGTCCATCTCCGACCGGATCTTGAGCAGCGCCAGCGTCTCCTGCCGTGGCCACCGGTTGCCTGCCCGCGACCCGCTCCGGTCGCCCTCCTCGCCACCCAGCAGCCCGTTGTGCTCCAGTAGCTCCCGTTGAGCTGCTCCTTTGCCGTCGCCTACTCCGGCGACGAGCGGCTGCTGATCGGCGACGGCGCCCCCCACTCCGCCTGGCTGCTTCGCTCGCCTCCTGCACCGCCACCGGCTGCACGCGGTCGATGAGCACGGAGAGGAGCAGCGACATGTTCTGCTTCAACGTGCGGAGCGCCGGGCGGATGCGGGCGTCGGCGACGCCGCCGACGTAGAGCCCGTCGTAGAACGAGTGGTGCGAGTTGAGAAGATGAGGCGGTACGCGGCGACCTCGGCGACGTGTCCGACCGCGGAGCTCGCGATCACGCAGGAGGAGCTCCCCGCCGGCCTCCTCCCCACCCGCCGGCGGCCTGCAGAGACAAGATTGAGAGAGAGAGAGGAGGAGGAAGGGAGAGAAGATGGTAAATAAAGGGTGATGACGTGGCACGCTGATATGTGGGGTCCACGTGAGTCCCATGCTGACTCAACTGCCACGTAGATTAAAACCACCGAATAACCTCGGGTGATCGGTTTTGTATAGTTAAGGGATCCCGCATATTTGGTTTTGCGGTTCGAGAATATTTTTTATCCCGATGATAAGTTCAGGGATCTTCGGTGCACTTTTTCCACTAGACCCTTAAATGTAATCTAATTCTACCGATTCAGGCCAGCCCTAAAGTGAAAACCATTTTAGCAGTTTTGATATATTGATAGCTTGTTTTATTTAGCCAGCTAAGATTGTAAGCCAACTACACTATTAATAGATTACGTCACCTATTATTTATTTCGTTTGGTTACAAATAAAATATCCGTTATGAACAAGGTTCAATCCAAACCCAGATATTAATACCTGATGAGAAAAAATTGTAGCAGTCGATAAAATAGCTAGCTAGCATGCGGGGCGAAACTAGGGAGGGGCGGAGGGAGGCCTGGTCTCCCACAAAGTTGCATTCTTGCTTAGCATCTGCTAATCGATTATCTAATTACATGATTAGTTAGTTTAAGCATTTTTCGTTTAAGCTTCCCTTTATTCTTGACGATTACTGCATCCTCTATATCCTGAGCTATGATCAGTAGAAGATTTTACATGCTAGCACGTTAGATCAAGCCTACAACAAGCTAACACGTGCAAGAAATCTTTAATACTGATGCATGTAGCTAATTATATACCGTATGCACATAAATATAATTTTGTATGGTCTAAATATAATTATATGATTTCCTATCCATGTAAAAAATATAATACTTGAAATTTACATGTATTGTGATTATTTTTTAATAGATTATTGTCATTTGATACATCTTGTAATTCGTTTATCAGATATATATGGCTAATTAAAGGTTTCGGCAACCAATGTTGGGTTATATTAGCATTGGAAGTTTTCTTTGGTAGTTATTGTTGGGAGCTTGGTGCTGACCAAGTAAAACAACACTAACATGTTAGACTAACTGAGGGGCTGGTTGACAGTACCATACTACCCATTAATTATAGCCTCCTCCAATATATCGGTGCCAACAAATCATCCAGTCTAGCTAGCAACGTAATCAACAGTGATCATCTCATGTGTGTAGTGTTAGCTCTACCATAACCATGTAAATCGACAATGATTGGCCTATGTAAAGTACGTCAGTTAACAAGTCAAAGCTTAAGCGAGTCAGAATGGTGAGCCAAGCCTATTTCTCCATTCAGCTTTCTAGCACGACTTGGCTTGATCTTAGTTAGTCTTGTGAGCTCAGCTCTAGTACATGATAACGTATACTTTAACAATAGTTTTATAAAAATATTTTTAACAATAATTTTATTAATTTTTTTAAGTTAATCATATTAAATAAAAAGGTGAGGAGTATTTAACATTAGGGATAATTGCAAATATACCACTACATTTCACACTTAATTTGAAATAGCCATTAAAAACATGAATTGTAAATTTGCCACTGAAATTGATCCACCGTGCTTCTACGTGCCATTGCCATCTAAACTGGTGCAATTAAGAGGCAAAAAATAATACATAAAACTAGATTGAAAATGACATAATTAATTTTCCCATCTTCATTTAAAAAAAAATCTTCTTCCAACTTACATAGAGTGCCACTACTAATTTATTCTTTTTTTCTTGGCACTTTATAAATATAGGACATGAATTTGTGTTTCGCATAGGGTCTCGAATTCTTAGGGATGGCTATGATGTCAATGTTAAAGCAGATTTACAAAGTTTACAGTGTCAATACCACATATAAATCTTAGCAAATTTACTATATCCATGTTATAGGAAAATTACTATGCCAATGTAGTAGGAAATTGAAGATTTTTGTTATTCAAATGTACTATGCCTTGCTTTTGTTCTCTAACTCCTCAGCTAGTAGCTAGGTGAGGTGGGAGGACCAGATAGTAAAGAGGAGAAGAACGAAGGATTAAAACCAAAAGAATGAAAGACTTTTTTATAGGGACATGAAAGAACCTTTCTGCAATAGATGTTTCTCGATGGGAACTTTATGATATTTTGTGTAGATAATATAACGGCTAAAATTTTGAAATACTAGATCGAACGGTCTAGGTTTTGCCATCAACGTGGATGCATGTTAGAAAAGGATCCTCCTTTCATTTAGGGGATGCGCCATATCTATAGAGGATCAGGTTGATGGTAACTCATATTCGAAAAATGTGTGGGACAGGAGGATGGCTAGGAGTGCCTATTCAACCTCAATAAAGATAGAACATTTCAGGACTGTAACTTTGCAAGTGCATCAGTAAGAAAAAGATCGTCCTACCCTTTGATCAAAGGCAGAGTTTATTAACTAAAAGATACGCATGTATCATATGGTTGGCATGCACCAAAACTTTTGGTTGAAGCATCACACTTCAGCTTTTTGCAAATAAAGGGTGGTTGGCAATCGAAGGTTCTCTCTCTGTCTGCTTTGTTCTTGTGTTGTAAACTGAAGGGTCTCCTGTTTGTTCACATGCGGATTAATTAGCTGGCTGAGCTTACCCTACATGTCTAATTAATTATGGAATATTTCTCCTTGAAAAATAATTGAGTTCATAATCGAGCCTGGACACGCCAACCCACTTTGCCCCCACACATCTGATTTATCCTATATAATAATTTATAATACTGGCAACTTGTATATTCTCTAGAAAAAAGTTCTTAAATATATTTGTCAATAAATATTACTGAGTAATTGGCTCTGTTGAGAAAAACACATGTAGATCATTTTTATATTTTCTCTGGCAGTTACTAATTTTTATAGGATTATGCAAAATATTTGCACATCACTACATTTCTCTACTATTATAAAAGTGGAGTCATCCTCCTTCCATATTTCACTGCATGCAGCGCCGTTTAACATGTCTAACCACTGGATTTAATATTTTATCTTTAATTATTATCATGATTGACGGAGCTCGTGGCTCCTCACCGGGAGACCGCGCAGGCCCCCCTTTGCCAGTTCGGCCGGGGGCTTAGGGTGAAATCTCAAGCTCTCTCTCTCTCTGTATGTGGAAAGATCGTCCGTCAGCAAGAAACACGAGACACCGGCGATCTATACAGGTTCGGGCCGCTGAGAAGCGTAATACCCTACTCCTGTGTTTTGGTGGATCTGTGTATGAATGAGCTACAAGTGTGAGCTGACTTCTCCCCCGTTCTAAGCTCTCAATCTGGAAAAGAATCAACCAACCCCCTCTCTATGGGCAAGGTCCTCCTTTTATACTTCAAGGGGATACCACATGCACCCTTCTCTTTCCAAACTGGACTGTTCTTTTTCTCTTGAATGGGCGGAGATCAGCACGGTTGCTGTCCGAATGACGCTCCGATGGGACAGCCCACACCTACCTCCACTTCCGCCGGGGGTGAGCGCGTCGTGGGAACATGGCTGTGCGCTGACGATATGATCAGTGTCAGACCGGTCACAAATCGGTCATTCTTGTCCACCGCGTGTAATCTTGGCAACGTGCATGTTTGCCCTTCTTCACACAACATCTTGCTTGTAATGGTTAGGATGAAGCCTGGCATATATCGATCGGGGCTAGCGTGTCATCTCTGGGATGTAACACGCTAGCTCCAGCCGGGGACGAGTGCCTAGAAGCTCTCGTCTTGACAGGATGGGGCGAAGCGTGCGTCTGACCGCCTGTCGCCACCTAACCCGTGATCTGACCGGTCTGTGACTGGTCACAGACCGGATAAAGGAACGCGCCGTACTGCGCTGCATGCAGCGTGACACGCCTGACCAGACTGCATTAAATGCTGTTAGGTGAGCACAGCTGTGCTCACTTATCCCATATATGTGGCGCAGACTTCCTAAAGGGGGTCGGGGTGCCCCGGCCCTCGGGGCCGGGGCAAGCGCAACCCGACCCCCCCTCGGGGGGAATCAGGAGGAGGGCGGACACCTCACCCTCGGGCCCGACGTCCCCGAAGGTGCCAGGCCCCGTGGGCGATTGTGTCTGCCTCAAGCCTCTAGTCATGATATTCCCGGTCCCATATCACCGACAGTAGCCCCCGGCGTTATGCCAGAGCAATTTCCCTTCCCAAGGGAAGCGGTCAGGTGTGACGCCACTCCTAAAGCCTGGTGACAGGTGGGACCGGTCTCCGTAGTTGGGCAAAATACCCAACGGTCTCAATCCATGCACATCGGTATTGATAACTTTGGTTGTCCATAATGGGCGGTCTATTCAAGACTGCCACACCACTTGAGCAGCGCGCGAATCTGGGTGAGCAGATTTGTCTCGCCCGGAGATATGGTAACGCCGCTTCGGTCGGCGAGCGTAATTAACGCGCGCACGATACAATCCGTTTCGATTGCCACAACCGCATATCCACTTCATGCGCCGTAAGCGGGCGAATGGGATTAGTGGAAGCGTGGGCACGGGAAACGAGGGAGCGAGATAGCGAGATACGAGGGAGCGAGGTAGTGGGCGCGAGAAACGAGGAGCCAGGCCCAGCGATGGCAAGGGTATAAAAGCATCGAGAAAAGGATTTGCTCCCTTCCTTTCGCCATTGTTCCTCTTGCCTTCGCCGCCTGAGCTCTAACTCTTTCTCTGCTACGCCCTACTTTCGCCACACGCGCTCGTTCCCAATCATCTCTTCCTCCACCGCCATGGCACGGGGCTCTGCTCTGCTCGACGGCAGTGTACTGCCGCCTTCCCGCATCGTGAACGAGAGGCACGCCGGACTGCCGCGCCGCTTCATGCCGGAGTCCGCCACCGGTCGGGAGATAGTGATGCTGGGCGAGGGGCGCCCGGTACCAGATTACCCGGGGCGGTCCATCTTCTTCCTCCCCTTCGCAATGGCTGGGCTGGTCCCGCCATTTTCTCATTTCTTCATGGATGTCCTGGAGTTCTACGATCTCCAGATGGCGCACCTCACCCCCAATGCGGTGATGACATTGGCCATCTTCGCACACCTGTG